AGGGTCTCCCGTGAGGGGGGCTGCCCTTCGTGGTCCACTCCCCGCTCCTGCTCCTTCCCAGCCCCCCACCCGTGTGTCCCAGCCCCTGGGTCATGCTCAGCACATGGGTGGAAAGCTCCCTCTTAGGAAGAAGGCTCTTTGTCTCATGTCATTCCCCCACCCCTGCCCCCAGCTGCTGCAGCTGATACTGTCCCCCCTCCCCCATAGGGGGTGGACACAGACAGAACATGTCCCTGAACCCTGGCTCCTCTCTAAAAGAACTATCCATGCCCTACTGCCATGCTTAGGGGCCCCTCAGGGGCTCAGAACAGAAATCCAGACACCTAGGGGCCCCCCCCCCCCCCCCCCCCAGTTCTATCAGAACTGGCCACATGGTATGCTACCGGCACTCCCTTCTCACTCAGAGCAACCACCCCTCCCTCCCAGGCCCAGCCAGCTGCTTCGCCACCACGCACACCTCAGGGCCTTTGCACGTGCTCGCATAGTCCTTTTCTGGGCAGCAGTTCCAACAACCCACATGGCTGGGGTCCTCACCTGCTGTAGGCCTCTGCCCTGGCCCCCTGACCCTGTCCGACCTGGCCTCCCAACCCGCCTTTGCCACTCTCTGGGTCCCCTGTGCATCCCCAACACCCTGAACAGGGCCTGCATGCAAGAGATGACGAACAGAGCTGGGTGGACTGTGCCCGGCCCACCTGTAGCAGTGCAGAGCTGTGAGCATCATATGCGAAGAGTCCAGCGAGTGGATGAAGTTGGGGGGGAAGCCATTCTTCTGCTTCAGTGTGTTAGGCTTCCTGGGGAGGCGGAAGGACTCAGGTGCCTCCACCCTGGCCTGACCTGGGGGCAGCCCCTAGCCCATATGCCCTCCCTCGGCCCAGGCATGCCCCCCGCCTGGCCCAGCACCCCCACCGGCACTCACTGGCTGGTGTCCCCACTCTGGCTGAAGGTGAGGCTCTGGATCCCACCGCTGATCTGCAGGGTTGGGGTGGGGAGGGTCAAGAGTCCCACCATGACACAGCGTGGGGGCGGTGGGGTGGGCCTGCACATACCAACACCTTGGAGTCCTGGTGGTAGGGCTGGATGATGGGGATGCCCAGGGGTGTGACCCATTCCACGGCCGAGCCCGTGTGGGCGATGAGCCGGGCGCTCTCCGTCAGCCAGTGCTGTGGACACAGGGCATGGGGCTCAGGGCAGGGCCCGGTCAGGGGCAGCCTGCTGGGCCTGGGGAGGGGAGAGGGGACACACCTGGATGGCCCGAGTGCCCGAGAACATCTCCTGGAGGCTGTTGAACACCTGGCGCACCAGGTAGTGAGAGGCCTCCCACACGAACTCCTGCAGTGGTGCGAGGTGGCAGTCAGAGCCAGGGCGGCCACCCCTCCCCATCCCTGCCCAGGGACCCGGAGGAGCAGCAGAACCGCCTTCCTCCTCAGGGTCCCTCAGGGGCCCCCCAGCAGCCGATGGTCGGGGGGAAGGGGGCGCGGTTGGGGGCTGGGGGGCATCCCTCCTCCGTGGCGCAGGGAAACCTGGCACGCACAACGCCGTGCACCTGGGGGAAGTTGCTGAGCTCCCGCAGGCGCTTCTCGATCTGCAGGCGGCCCCCGTAGCGGGTGACCCCATACACCACAGTCATCACCGTCTGCTTGACCACCTTGCGGCTGACGAAGCCCTCGAGCACCTGGGCTACCCGCACGCCCCGTTCGGCGTCCTGCCTGCGGAACACCTCCACCTGGGCAGGCGCTGGGGGTCAGCGGGCAGGTGCGTGGAACCTGTCTCCCACCCAGCCCAGCAGCCCCACTTTGAGGCCTCCCCAGTTCCCTCTTCTGACACCTCCCCGGGGAAGCCCACCCTGACTGCCCGGTCCATCACAGAGGACAGAGCCCACAGGATCTGCACATCCAGGCATTCACAGGATGGAGACCCCGCATGGGCTGAGAAGGAGAACGGGGGTCGGGGGACTGTAGTACCCACCTGCGCAGCCACCCCACTGTATACATCCTGTGGCAGGTCAGAGGGCAGCAGGTTGACAGAGGCGGCCCCCACACTGTCCCGGCCCAGGGCGGCATAGTGCTGCAGGCCGTTACAGGAGCCGTCCTGAGGAGGACGGGAGAGTGACCCCGGAGAACGAGCCGCTGCTGCAGGGTCCCCCAGTGCGCCGCTCAACCGCCAGCGCTGAGAGGCACGGAACGTGCCCATACAAGATCACACCACAAGGCTGGCCGCACCCATGGGGCTGGTCCCCACGCAGGGACACCGGCCCAACTCAAAGTGGGATCTGCAGGGACTATGTGCCCCCACCACCTCCGGCCCAGCCCCCCGAGGGCCAGGCACACCCCACACCGGGGTCCCCAGCAGCTCACCTGGTGAACTGGAAAGTGAGAGACGTAAGCCGCAGGGTCGGGGGAGCGCACGGCCCGAGCAATCTCCATGCAGCAAGCCAGGGCCTGCCAGGGCTCATCCACCTCCATCCACCACTTCCGGCCCTGTGGGGAGGGGGTAGAGTGGGGCTCAGGCCAGCCTGGCTGGGGCCGGGACAGAGCACCCCCAGGACGGCAGGGGTGGGGGGCGGCAGGAGCGATGGGCAGGCAGGGCGACGTGGGAGCAGCCCTGTGCAAGCAGCCCTGCACGTGAGCCCCGGGCCCAGCCGTGGCATGGGGAAGGGTCTGGAGGAAGGGCCAGTCTGGGCTGGGAGGGAGCGAGGCCGCAGAGGGCGGGGGACAGAGAGGACGAGGCCAGGAGCCTGTGCCCGGGGGCAGACGGAGGGGGGCAGCCTGTGCCCAGGGGCAGACGGGGGTGGGGCTGGGAGGGAGGGGCCGGGGTAGCCGGTGCAGGGCACAGGCTGGGGGAGACGGACAGGCGAGGCACCAGGGCCCCGGCCAGCGCCCTCTGCACCCCTACCGTCATGGGCCGGTCGGCAGAATCCAGGATGTCCTCCATCATCTCATTGGCGAAGACCAGGCGTGCCTGCAGCGGCTCGTGTTTCCTGAGCCCAGTGAGGTTGACCAGGTGGATCTTGAGCCAGTCAAGGCCGTGGCGGCCAAGCGGACGGCCCTGGGCAAACTCCAGCAGGGCACGCGCCAGGTCGCTGCCCAGGTGGTTGAAGTGGGGCGGGCAGGGGTAGGTGCGCCCACGGAAATCCATGTTGTGAGGCAGCCAGAAGACACGGTGCCGGAGGTGCTGGGCCAGCGAGAGGCGGTACAGGGCGTCCGAGCGCAGACTGTGCATCTCCCGCGCCACCTTCAGGCAGCGGGCCAGCTCCCGCCGCACCTTGGCCTTGTGGGTGGGTGAGGCGCTGGGCGGCAGGCGGCCCTCGGGCGGCCGGGGTGCCTCGGAGGGCGGGGCCGGCACACCCAGACGCGGGCAGCCCTTGGCGGTGAAGAGCTCCAGGACCAGGTCCAGCACGCGCCCATTGACCCGCCAGGCGCAATTGCCCAGCTGTGTGAGGGCGTCCAGGGCACCGTGCAGCTCGGTGGGTGGGCAGCTGTCCAGCAGGCGCTGGTGCTGCATGGTGCCCTCCAGCGAGCGCATGAGCTTGGTGGGGCTCAGCAGGAAGGCACCCGTGTGCGGCGACGTCCAGGGGAGCGGCGGGCACAGCATGGGCACCTCGGCCGCTTCAAAGGTCAGCGTGCGCTCTGCGGCCGTCGCCAGAAGCTCCGTGAAGGCAGGGTGCGGCTTCAGGATCCCGATCTGGGGGTGAGGTAGGCAAAGACGGCTCCAGGGGCCAATCACCCCAGATGACACACAGCGAGTGGGCAGAAGACCCCACCGGGGCCCGGCAGTCCCCCCACCACCCGGAGCCCCCAGCCTCATCTCTCAGGGGCCCAAGGCCTCCCAAAGCAGCCCACCTGGCGGAAGCTGCGGAAGGAGTACACGTGGTAGAGCACGGGGATGAGCGTGCAGGGGCCCTGCGGGGCGGCCACGCTGCCAGGCATCCGCACGGCCTCCACCAGCAACTCGGCAAGCTTCTTGCCCAGCTGCACCAGCACGGGCAAGGGCCAGGGCTGCTCGTGGGGGGCCTCAGGCGCCCCCAGCGCCTCCCAGTACTGCCGTGGCAGGTGGGGCGTCTCCACCTGGGGGCGGGAGAGTGGGTCAGGGGGGTTGGGGGGCCTGGGGGTCTGGGCCCAGAGCCGACCACCCCCCGCCACCCCGAGGGCGGGAGCCAGTTGCAAAGTGGCAGGGCCTGGGGGCAAAGCCAGCTGTGCTCCAGGCCTCGGTCTCTGCACCTGGAAATGCCCCCGCGCCCCCCGCCCGCAGGGCCCCCGATCCCGGGCCTCACCTGGGTGTCGGAGGCCAGCAGGTGCAGGTATTGGTGGTAACGCTGCTGGAGCGCCTGCACCTGGCTGCTCAGCTGCTTCCTGTGCACCGTGTGCCGGTTGAAGACGCGCAGGCCCAGCTGCTGTGCCAGGGAGAGCAGCGACTCTCCCTGCGGGGGCAGCACCTGCAGGGTCTGGGGGCGGCACCGTGAGCCCCGGGCCCCCTGCCCCCCTGCGTGCCCCCCGCCCCCTGCTGCCCCCCAGGCGCCACCTGCAGCAGCAGCTCGGCGAGCTCCTCCTCGGTGAGCACACACAGGTACGGGAAGATGGTGGAGCGGCCGGCACGGGCGGCGCGGGCCTCGCTGGCCTTCAGCTCCTGCAGCCCCAAGCTCAGCGCCTGCACCCACTCGGCACGCAGCTGCTTCAGGGTGTTCCGCTGCGGGGCACGGGAGTAGGCGTCACCACCACGCCCTCCAGGCCCTTGGGGCCGCCTCGCACACTTCCCGCGGTGTCAGGGGGGCACATGGCCTACACTGGCTCTAGGGAGGCAAGCGACGGGGCCGCGGCAGCTGCCCGCCCCCCCACCGCCCCCAGACCAGGGGTGTGATCCAGCCGTGTTCCTCACCGCCTGCAGGACCTCCTTGGTCAGCACCCGGGCCTTCTCCACAGATTCCACGGCCACGGTGGTGGCCATCTCCACGCCCAGCTGCTGCTGGAAGAGGCTCTGTAGCTTCTGCAGGGGCAGGTGCAGCTTCGGGTACGACACGGGGCCGCTCTGCTGGTGCGGACAGGCAGGCAGTGAAGCCCAGAGCGGCTGGTCCCCCTGCCCTTCCACGACCCGCCCACCCCCCTCCCCCCGCCGGCCCCGGCAAGGCCACACGGGAAAACCGCCCATCCACGAGGCCGGCAGGACGCGATGCAAAGCAGCCTGTGACAGCCACGCTGGTCCGAGTGCCCAGCACTGGCCGGCCTCACTGGGCAGGGGCCAGGACAACCTGGGGAGACACGGTTCAAGTCCCTGCATGTGTCTTTTCTCTTTAAACTTGGAACTGTGTGAATGTGTGACCCGTCCAAAAACAGATCACTTAAAACAGCCCAACCCGACACACGGAGAATCACGAACAGGTCCACATGGAGCAGGGTGACTCACGATCCCCAGAGCGGACGGAGCCCCTCTGCCCACCTGCAGCTCTAGGCTGCCCGGGCTCAGGGCACTGACTGCCGGCTCTGCCTGGAATTGTTCCTCCAGGTGGGAGACTAACACCAGCCCAGCCGTGGCACCTTTCTTTAGAGTTAGGGCCCCGCTGGGAGCCACGTCTGGCTTGTCTGGCCTCTGAGGAGCAGGGAGGGCGTCCCTAGGAGGCGGGTGGCGACGAGAGAAAGAAAAGGAGGCACCGAGGCCTGGGAGACCCCACAGGGCAGGGTGGTCCCAGCTCGTCCCCCACACGACACGGCCCCCCGCCTGTGGGTGTCAGGGCCTGCTCACCTTGGCGTAGATCTCCCTGAGCAGCGGTGAGGTGTTGACCTGGGGTGGGGGCCGCGGTGGCGGCGGCAGGCTGAAGGTGGGCTGGGCCTTGTGCACAGCCCTCAGGACCATGTCCTGCTCCTCCTGGCACAGTGGCATGCTGGTAAACAGCCCCTGCAGCTTCAGCCCGTCCCGGGCCATCTGGTCCAGACACCTGCGGGGGGCACACGGTAGGCGCAGACCCACCCAAGGGATGGGTCTCAGCGCCAGGTGGCCGCAGGGGCCTGGCGGAGGGGGTCTAGCCCCCAGCAAGGGCCAGGTGGCTCACCCACCTCTGGATGGTGTTGGTGTCCTGGTCCAGCCGTCCCATGCACTGCAGGGCGGCCGCATAGGATAACAGGTCTGGGGTGAGGCCAGCATCTTTCACCATGAAGAACACGTAAACCAGCTCTTTGAAGGAGCCCTGGGGAGACAAAGTTGGGGTGAGGGTCTGGGGGTGGCCGGCCTGCCCCTCGAGACCTCTCTGTACGGCCAATAAGTCAGGCAAGGAAAGGCTCGCTGGCCAGGACGTGTCCGTGCGCCCCCGGTGCAGCGCCACGTGCAGTGACACCACGGCGGGGTCGGCGGGGAGGGCCTGGGCTCCTCAGGGGAGCCGTGGTAACATTTTTATCTCGTGGACGTGCACGAGCCCAGCCTCGCCACAAGAGGCTCTCTGGTGGGATCTGCAGAGAACCCGCTCTGCATCCGGCGATTTTCCGTTCTCTCTTGGTCCGCCTGCTTGGGGCTCAGCACATCCCCGTCTCATGCGGGCGCTGTGGCTCTCAGGCCAGCAGGTGCTGTGCCGCCTTCCCGTCTCCATTCATGCCTGAGACGTGGCCAACTCCCTCGCACGTGCCGCGGTTTAGGCGCGCTGCCACGGAGCCTCTCAAGAAAGCGAGGCTCCAGAGCTCCCCCACCAGCGGTCGTGCGGCCCTCATCCGAGGCCTGCTGTCGCGGCAGGGACCACAGCGCCGGCAACAGGGCTCTGGGGGCTAGTCTCAATGACCCTGCATGGGCTGCCCTCCTCGTGGTCACCAGCCACACGAGGTCGCTCTATGTTCAGCTCTATAAGGGGCCACACACAGCTGGTGCAGACGAGAAAGTTCTACCAGACAGCGCCCGTCTCGAATGAACACATGCATCCCACATGGGCAGAATCTTCGGTAACACCATCAACACGAAAACACGCACTTCTAAAGTTCACGCGTTCTCTGGCCCTCGTCCTAAACACAGATGATGGTCAAAGACCTGAATTAGGTCCCTCAGTCTTCCCAAGAGTCAAGCAGCATTCCCTGCTTTACAGATGGGAAAACCGAGGCTCAGAGAGGCGTGAGCAGGGCGGGCCACACAGTGGGCACATGGCAGAAACAGGACTCCAACTTGGGTCTGGGTGACAGCCAAGCCCCACCACATACACGGGCCGCCCAGAAGCAATGACTTGCGAAGCCAATGATGGCTGTTAAGTCCGTGCACGATACAGAAGAACGGGGCCTGGAGTGGGCTGACTAGTGACACCCCCAAATTCACATCTACCCAGACCCTCAGAATAGGGGGTCTACTGGGAAACAGGATCTTTGCCGACGTAACGAGTCAAGATGAGGCCATCTGCAGGAGAGTGTCTCACTGGTCAGGTGTCCGTGTGACCGCGGAGGCAGATGCCGGAGGGACGCGGCCACCGGCCAAGGAAGGCAGGCACCCCGGGAGCGGGGAGAGGCAGGAAGGACCCTCCCCAGAGCCTCCACAGTGGGCGCAGCCACACTTGGGTCTGGGACTGAAAGTAAATCCCTAGCACCTGAAGCCGCCCCGATGCCTGTCATTTGCCCCAAGGACCGCAGGAAGCTCACGCGTGGGCTCCTGGCAGGAATGTCCCGCTGTAACAGGGATCTTTGCTGGGGGACCTGGAGGCCTTGTGACCTTGGATGGGAGAACATGGCCCTTCTGTCTTCACTAACTCCCTAAATCTAGCACACCTCCCAGGGACCAGTGCGGGCAAGAAACTGCCTGTGACAGCCACCCGTGCACACGGGGCATCTCCGCCTCGCATCGCGTCACGTCATAGTCCAACGCAGACGTACAAGAGATGGTGGCTCCTGGGCCTGTCGCCCAGTCCGTGCGGGATGGTCTCCACCACGAGGCCACCCTCCTGTGCCCACACCTACGTCTTCACACAACCCTCTCCTTCGCAGGCCTGCATGGCTCCTGCTGGCCCTAAAATAGGGCTGCAGGTGCAGGGGAGGGAGAAGGCAGGGCAGTTGGCCCCTCACAAGCACATGGACGTAACACTGTCCTGAACAATCAGAAAAGACGACACCACAGGGGAAATTAAGAAAACTTGGAAAGACACGGGACGCAGCTAAAGCAGAGCCCAGAGGAAAGCTTGCAGCCACGAACGCCTGTGTTTAAGAAAGAAGGATCGCGACAAAAAACCTAACCCTCCACCTCAGGAAACTAAAGCGTCAAAGTCACGGTGTCGAGGAAGCGGGGACGCCAGAAGGTATGGAAGCCCCAGCCGAGGAGTCAGAAGGAGAAATGCTAAAACGTTAGCAGCATTTCTTCCTTCTTTCTTGGTTGTTTGCAAAATTTCCGCTGAGGAACACACGTGATTTACGCTTGACAAGCCTGAGAGAATCGCTGAAACGGTAACAAGCAGCAAGACCAGGGCTGGCACCTAAGTGCCACTCGGGCCTTGACTCCCACCGGGACGCCCCCCGTCCGGGGCCGCCGCTCACCTTGCGAGCCCAGCCGAGCATGACGGTGTTGTACATGGCTAGTGTGAGCCGCCGCTGCTGCCGGGACCGGCTGTGGAAGGTGACCAGCACGTGGTGGGCGAGAGGCAGGTGGCCCGTGAGCAGGCAGCACTCCAAGAAGGCCAGGAGCCTCTGCTGCTGGATCTCCCGCCGCACAGAGGCGCTCTCAGCCTTGGGGGCCTGCTCGGCCTCATGGCTCAGCTTCCGCGGGGCCTCCTGCAGCAGCCGCGTCAGCCGCTCTTCCCAGTGGCTCCGGGGGGCCCCGTGCTCCCAGTGCGGCAGGCAGCTGGCCAGCTGGGCGTCCAGCAGGCGGGGTACCACCCGCAGCCTGTGCTCACAAGCCAGCTGCTGGGCTCGCACCTGCAGCTTCACCTCCAGCCGCTGCTTGCGCTTCTGCATCGCAAACTTCTCCTTGTCCAGTTTCTGGGCCCAGCGGCCACTGAGCTCCGCAGCAGTGTCCTCGGGCCCCATCTGGGCCTTCCCGGGTGGCTGGAAGCTGCCAGATGCTGGGAGTCGTCGAGCCATGCCGACCCTCTTCACCGTTACCTCTGACACACACTCGGCCTGCAGCTGCCGCACCCGCGCCTCAAGCACTGTGGGGGCAAAGGGCAAGGATGTCGGGGGTGGGGGTCTCCATTCAAGCCCCAATCTCCCCAGCCCCTGCTGTGCTGGCGGGGCAGGGCGGGGCGGCTGGTCTCACTAGCTCTTGAGGCTTCAGCTTTATGTATTTGATGACAACTCCCTCGTGTCCCCCGATTTTCAGGCACACACACCTTACCAACCTGCTCAGCACCTCTCTGTCTGAGCCTCTCAAACTCAACTTCCCCAACAAGCTCCTGGTGTCCCCCCAAAACCTGCTCCTCCACGTCTGTCACTGGCAGTGATGTCCTTGCACGTGCTCAGCCGGAAACCCCAGGATCATCTAGGCCTCTCTCCCTCCACATCCAGTCTGTCAGCACACCCTCAGGGGTGTGCCTCTGCCTGCAAAACCTATCCAGGTGCCTGGATGCCCCCTGCTCTCACCTCCTCCCACTCTCCCCCACATTGATCATTCTGGGCAGCCACAATGGCCTCAGGGCCTTTGCACATGCTGTTCCTGATGGGTATGGCTATGTGGTTGGGGACAAGGTGACCCTGAGTTTTCTGCAGAGCCGTGGTTCTGTGGCTAGCCTTGTGCCACAATGACTTTACAGATCATGGGGGTCCCCAGATCAACACACGACCTTGTTCTGTCTTTCTGCTTGAAATGCCTTATTTCACATACATGTTGATTGATTAACGCTGAACCCACAGCTGACGACACTGTAACTCACTCCTGCACAACCACATATTTTCTCCAAAAGGCACCTCACAGCCTTCTTGGGCTTAGAACACTAGAAAGCACCACCACGCTTGGGGGCCATTTTAAACAGCAAAATCACCAACAAAAGCACAAAAATGCAAAAACCGGGCGCCTGGGTGGCTCAGTAAGTTGAGAGTCCAAATCTTGATTTCAGCTCAGGTCATGATCTCAGGGTCGTGAGATTGAGCCCCGCTCGTGCTGTAGGGCTCTGCGCTCAGCACGGAGTCTGCCTGAGACCCTCTCCCTCTTCCCCTGCCCCTCCCTGCCATTCCCACGCTCTCCCTCTAAAAAACAAATTCAGATTTAAATTAAAAACAACAGCGTGGCACCGAACATACCTCGGAAAGGACACTTGTTTACGGTACGCATGAAATAAGAGAACAGTGTGTCACCCGGTTCAACACCACTGGGGGTGGGCATGTCCAACCACTCAAACGTCTGCCGCTCTGCATGTGTCCACAAGTAACTACTAGAGTACCTGAGCACTGATTTCAGGGTTACGAGTCAACTTTGCAAATACAACTGCGGACTGACTGTACCTGCCCACGCCCCTCCCACTGGACTTCAGCTGACAGGAGAGCTGGCCTCACACAGCAGGGGCTCAACAAAAATTTGCTGAAATAAAGTGAAAAGACAGGGTGACCTTGGCCCCTGGAGTGCACCAACACCCAGGACACGTGTTTTGGAATACACACGTCAAAGACCATACCCTGGAGCAGGGCTGTGGGCACAGGTTTTTCTCCCGGAGGCGGCAACATCAGAGCTGACCTGGCGGCCACAGCTCCTTCTGGCTGAAAAGGCAGGCAAAGGCCACAGGGATCTGTGTCCTCAGCTTGGGGGCGGGGGGGGGGGTGTCTATTCTATGCGAGAGAAAACAGTTGGAGAGTTTTAGACTGGAGAGTGACATAATGTGATTCAGACTTCCAGCACCTTCCTACAGTTGAATGATAATAACATCTGGGCTTTGGGGCGTCTGGGTGGCTCAGTCGCTGGGCGTCTGCCTTCGGCTCAGGTCATGATCCCAGGGTCCTCGGATCAAGCCCTGCATCGGGCTCCCCGCTCAGCGGGAAGCCTGCTTCTCCCTCTCCCACTCCCCGCTTGTGTTCCCTCTCTCGCTGTCTCTCCCTGTCAAATAAATAAAATCTTTAAAAAAAAAATAAAAAAATAAATAACTTCTGGGCTTTGCTTTAAAATAATTAAGTGGTGGGTAAGAAAGGAAAGGCTGCTGTTGAGGATGGTGGTACTTCGCTTCTGTATGTTTGGAATTTCCTGAAATAAAGTTCTCCTTTTTACAGGCTACCCCACCCCACCCCTGGGTGCTGGCGGGGAAGCGGGACATGCTGGACATGGTCTGGAAGCCCCGTGCTCCCACCTCCCTCTGGAGGTGCTAGGACTGAGCTGTCCTTCCCAGGTTATGAAGAGGGGAGGACCCCTACTAGGCCCCTTCAGGTGCCCAAGCCCAGACACGAGTCAGTTCCGGGTTGGAATCCCGGCCGTGCCTGAGCAGCTGCATGTAGCCCTGGCCCAGCCTCTCCAGCCTCAATTGTCTCACGTGGACAGCAGGAGCGCCTGCCGGGTTTGGGGAAGGGGTAAACACTGCCTGAGCCTCCTGCCATCGTCCTCACGGTACCCTGTTCTACAGCAGACATCCTGCAGGGGGCAGCGGGGAGCGGGGCTTCAGGCGCCAAGCCCCGGGGGTCTGGACTCACCCTCCAGCAGCTCCGCGTGGCCCCAGTCCTTCCGGCGGTCTTGCTCACAGGGGTTGGCAGAGGAGCTCCTCCTGCGGCCCCAGACGCCACTGAGAGCCCCTGTGGGTGACAAAGGGAGGCTGCGGGAGGCAGAAGGAGGCCCGCGCCTAGGGGGGTGGGAGGTCCTCAAATGAGCGGAAACAGCAGGATCCGGGGGCAAAAGAGCCCTACGCTCAGTGGAAACTGTCAGTGGTCACGGGCCTCACACTGGAAAGAAACCAAGAGGTCAAAGGTGAAGGGGACCTCAGAGCAAGGAAAATTTGACTGTGGAACCGAAGATAACGGGTTCCTCGAACTAAAGGTGTAGTGAGTTCAAAGGTCAAGGACCCTACATCTCTCAAATAAGGGTTCAGGGGACTCCAAAAGAAACCAGGACTCCGACGTCAAAGTGCTCTGCCCGTCCCCGTCCGGAGACTGGCCCAAGGGCGAGTGAAAGCGGGGTCCAGTCAGTGGGTTCCCCAAAACCAGAACCCCACGGGGCAAGGGCCAAAGGAAAGGGGTGGCTGCATCTGACGGCCTAGAAGACGAAGGTCACGGCCGCGGGGAGAAGGGGCAGCGGCCGCGGCGTCTACCCCGGGCCTCCCCCGCGTTACCTTCCTCCGCCAGGGGGCCGGGCCGACCCGCCGGCCACAGGGCCCTCCGGAGACCGGACGCGCCATGGCCCCAGCGCAGCGCCGACATGCCGCTCGCCGCCCGCCGCCCGCCGCACCGCCCGCACTGCGCCTGCGCCTGCGCCGCCCGCACCTGCCGGGAGTTGTAGTTCCGCAGCCTACGGCGGCTTCGAAGGGACCTCGCGGCGGGAGGAGGCCGCCAGAACCACAATTCCCAGAGAGCAGCGGGGCCCCGGAGGCTCGGAGGCATGCGCCGAAGGAGCCCTCTAATTGGCTCCTCCCTCTGTCAAGGAGGGGCGGGACAGAGCCGTTGCTTGGGTAACCCGCGTGACTCTAAGCCCTCTTTGGGAGGACCCGGAAGCCAAGTTTGTTTTTTTCTTAAAGGAATGGTCGCCAAATACTTAGGACGACGTTCTGCAATTTAGCGATTCCTGTATGCGATTTTCACTGCTCCAACGTCGACTTTGGGGCGGGAGCTATGTATCGCGGAGGAAGCCGAGGTCGGGAGATGTCGATCCCCAACATTAGGGAGACCGCCGTGCCCCAAAACCAGGGACAGTTGGGCCGTCGCCTTTCCGGGACATCTCCCTCGGCCACGCCCTCAGGTCTCAGTGTCCCCACTAGTCAGCTCTCAAGCTCCCAAGGACAGGAGCAGAGCGGGCGCCTAGAGCACACGAACCTACTGAATTGATTGGATGACAAATGGAATGAGATAATCCCCGGAGCCTGGAGGTTCCCAGCCCTGGTCTTCAGGGTGACCCCACTCCGGCGTTAGAGTCAGACCTGGAAGGCACTGGGGAAACTGAGGCCGGGGAAGGGGCGCATCTGCTGGCATGGGAAGGACGAGAAGAAAAATATCAGGAGTAACTGTGTTCCAGGCAGCGTTCACAGCAAGTGCAAAGGCCCTGCGGCAGAGTCAAGTGTGGATAGCTGGAGGAACTTGAACAGAGCTGGAGTTAGGGAGAGGAAGCAGAGACAAAGCTAGAGGGGCTCTTGGGCCAGACCACAGCGGGCCTTAGAGGCCTGGGCTCAAGTTGCCACCTGCCCTCAGATACTCCAACTTGGTTACCCCATTAGCCCAGAGTGGAAGCTGGACCTGTGCTCTGGAAGGGCCAGCCTCCTGGGCCTGGAGGCTTCTTGACAGCACATTCCAGACGCAGCTGCCCACGCGGGCCTGTGCATTATGATTCCACCGGCTGGGAATGTTTTCAACAGACTGCAGCGTCCTCTCAAACCTGCCCCAGCCCACTCCAAGCTGCCCTGGGGGCCTCGACCTCAGATCTGACTCACACCTGGGAGTGCCTTCCTGGCCCTGGGGGCTGAATCAGTTGGACCTGGTCTCTCAAGACCTAGAGACACCCCCTCAAACCCTTGTAGCCTGGCAGAGCCAGGAACCTGGGATGGAAGGCAACACTTTGGAGTTCCTTGTGCCTCCGTTCCCTCTTCCTTTCCTTGGGAATAGATGCCCTCGACCAGTATTTCCCCAAGAGCCGGGTTCCAGGAACTTAGCAGTGAGAAAGTTATTCTTTCTGCTTCGGCTCGAACATGGAAGGTCTCACTCCATACCCGCCAACCTCAGCTCTCTGGCTGCACTGCTGTCCATCTGAGGATCTGTCACGCGGCTCTGTCCCCGCAGCGTTTCCTGTTATGGCTTATTGTCATCATGTCAGTGTGTGGCTCTGGTTTTCCACTCCTGATGGTGAGATCAAGTTTCCTTGTAAAACGTAAGCAAGAAAAATGGGAATAACACACCAGACTGGTGGACAGAGTTGTGATTAAACGGGAAACACAGCATCAGAGGCTGGAGTTTGGGCAACACCCGTGTTTCAGAAACTGTTTGCTTACGTCGGGTTCTCACCCAAAATGTTTTGTCCGATTCTTGCCCTGAGACGTTCACACGAACCTGGGTTGTGCCCATGTCGAGAAAGGCAAGGATCTCTAGATGGAAGCGAGGATACCGGATTCTAGGGATTGCCTAGGTAGTCAGTTACCACAGACCAGGGCGCCTGGGTGGCACAGTCGGTTTCCGCTCAGGTCATGATCTCAGGGTCGTGGGCCGAGCCCTGCACTGGGGCTCCATGCTCAGCGGGGAGTCTGCTTGAGATTCTCTGTCTCCTCCCCCTGCTCGCTCACTCCCTCTCTCTTTCTCTCTAAAAATAAATAAATCTTAAAAAAAAAAAAAATGACTTGCCACACACCTCATACCTCCAACAACAGAAATGTGTTCTTACATTTCTGGAGACCAACCCGACAGACACCCAGTGTCAGTATCCGTGGGCTGAAATCAAGGGGTTGCAGGGCTGCACTCCCACCGGAAGCTCCAGGCGGAGGGTCGTTCCTGCCGCCTCCAGCTTCTGCGGGCTCCAGGCGTCCCTTGGCGTGGAGCTGCACCCTGTCTGATCTCCACCTCCGTGGTCACGTGGTCTCTTCTGTGTCTATGTCAAATTTCCCTGTGTTTTTCTCTTATAAAGACACTTGTGACATTACTTGGGGCCTACTAAGATGGTTTCCTCATCCGATGATCTGAATTTAATTGTATCTACCAAGCCTCCAAACAAGGTAAAATTCACAGGTTCCTGAGATGAGGATGTGGACATATCTTTGGGGGCCGTTATTCAGCTGATCAGAGACTACCCCGGGTTTGTGATGAGCGGAAAAAGCTATTCTAGGGCTCTGTGGGCACAGCAGGGGCCGTCTGACCATGGGTGGTGGATTAGATCGCAGCTTGGATATGACCGAAGACCTTGCCTGCAGGAAATACGTCCATGTGTTTAGAGGTGAAGTGGTACCATCTCTGTGGCTTATTCTCAAATATCCACTTACATAAAAAGATTACCTGGTGCATTTTTCGAGGTATGATGTCAGCAGTGCACACGTCAGGAATACAGCTCAATTTTCACAAATCTGCCCACGGGTGTTCCCCAAAAATGCCCAGCCCCTGCCACCCCCTCACACCTCTCATCGCTGGCCCCCAGGGTGATACCCCCATCCTGACGCCTCACACCGGCGTAGTTGGTTTTGCCCATTGTAGACTGTGACATAAATGGACCTCCTTTGTGTCAAGCTGCTTCTACTCAGCATCCTGTCTGAGACTCGTCCACATTGTTGGTTCCTGGACACACAATTCCCTGGTGGGAATTTGCTACGGTGTATTTACCCATCCTCCTGCTGATGGAGAGCAAAAAGAATGTATAGAATCGGGGAACGCAGGAATAGGGTGCTCACAGTGCTGTTCTTACAGGCTTGAAGTCTTAAAAAACCGCAATGAGACACCACTTTGCCCCCATTAAGAGGGCTGTAGCCAAAACACTGGGCAATCACCAGCGTCTGGAGGACGTGCAGAAATCGGAACCCTGACGTACTGCTGGTGGGATGCAGATGGGACAGCCGCAGTGGAAAACGGTCGGGCAGTTCCTCAAAAAGCGAAACATAGAATTATCATCTGACCCGGCAGTTCTACCCCTATTCATAGACACAAGAGAAATGAAAACACGTCCACATAAAAACCTGTACACCCAAGTCCAGGGCAACACAATCCACAGCAGCCAAAAGGTAGAAACAACCAAGTGTCCGTCGATACATAAATGATACAGACCACGCGTCCACCACGCACGGGAGCGTCCCGCAGCCGCGGACAGGAGCCAGGCGCCCACATGCACGGCCCCGGGGACGGACCCCGAGCCCACGACGCTCAGGGAGGGAACCAGACACAGACGGCCACGCGGGGTGTGAGCCCACGTGGGTGACACGTCCGCGGACAGGAAGGGGGCTCGTGGGGGCCAGGAGTTGGGGAGGGGGAGATGGGGAGCGACGGCTGATGGGATGGGGTTTCCTTTTGGGGCGATGGAATGTTCTGGAACTAGAGAGAGGTGATGGCGGACAACCCTGTACTGAAAACACTTGAGTTGTATACCTCCATAGGTGAACTGTGTGGTATGTGAATTATATTTCAGTGAAGCTGTTATTAAACTCCAACAACACCCGGGGCAGGACAGCTTCCTGGGCGTGGGTCCCACCCCCATCACACAGAGCCCTGAAGACTGTCCTCCTGGGGGGCAGGGTGGGGACACTCCAGGAAGGGAAGACTGAGTTTCTGGCTGTGGGAATCAGGATGTTATTCCAAGTTTGTGCATCGCGGCGCCCTCTGCCCAGCGAGGCTGTGGATTACCTCATTCCATCTTTCCAGGCTTCTCTTCCTCGCCCATTTTCCTGAGGCGGCACGGAGGCTTGGGGAGGTGACACAAATAAGCAGGATCCCTCAGGTGCTGGCCTCAGGGCTCCGAGTGTGGGGACACCCTCTCCCATCTCAGTCCTGGGGTCCTGTGGCTCGGGCACACCCCATACATGGCCCTCCTGGGACCAGAAAGAAGGATCAGGGAATCCCCAGAGCCACCAGGAAGGCATCCCGGCTTCTGGCCAGACCGGTTACCCCTCCAGCACTACACTGGGCCAGGCCTGTCACCTTGTCTTCACCCAGGTGCTATTTAAAGGTGCCACCTGAGGCCCTGGCTGTAGGACTGGGCCTATGGGAGCAGAGGGGCAGGGACTGGAGCCCTGGGATGTGTCCTGTGTGGTGCCTTGGGGAAGGTGCTGACCCACTCAGGCCTCGGTTTCCCCACCTGTCAATGACGTCTCTCAGCTCTGAGTCTGTGAAGTTTCACCGTGCTCCTCTCAGGATCCAGGGCACAGGGTGGCTCCCAGTGGGGCTTGGGTGTGTCTGTAAATGATGAGCAGGTATGGGTGTAAATGGAGCCACCCTCCTCGGACATGCAGCTCTGGACGACGCTGGGGACCGCGTGGGGGCCCCACTCATCATTCATGCTGCTGTCAGCTGGCCACAGACATGCGCTCATGTCCATCTGCCATCAGCCCCCTTCCAGCCCACAGCACCCCATCCCCTCCCCTGCCCAACACCGGGATGCACAACATTCCCTCTACCCGCATGTCCCCCCATGCCCAGCCCTCAGTGAAGACCCTGGCCCTGGGGGCCTGGCTCTTCGGGAGCGCCAGTTTGGAGGGCAGACAAGTCCCCCTGTGGCATGCCCAGTGCGGAGGCCGGGCTGGCAGGGA